TTTTCATATGATTTCCAGAGACAACGCGTTCTTCTACGTGGACCAATTCGTGGCCATTCATGGTTTCTCTTTCCCTCTCGTTAAAAACATATAGTGTGTGCAGATGGCGAAGTAGATCGCTGATATTTTCTGCGAGCAACGTGTTCCGAATGTTGTGGGACTGCTCATGTTAACGCTATCTTCACATGATTTATATTAAATATGCACGCGATGTGTAAATAGCTGAGAATCTAAAAAGCTGATAAAACAATTCAAACGAACTGCAAGCCGAGAACATAGTTTTGGAATCTCAAAAAACGCTTTCACTAGTGTTCACTGACATTCACCATTAGGGTTTCACCCGAGCTAACCCCGCTTTTTGTTCGATCCCAAAACATTTAATTGCGAGACGACTTGGACCCGCGCGGTCGTCTTCATCTGGGAAAGTTGGGGACAACACCCTTGCTGTAAAGGTAAAACTTGGGGAATGGCAACGCTTTTACTAAGACTTCGTGCCGGCGGCGTGCTATGAAGTCGAGTGAGGGCTTATATCAGCGCCATCTTTACATGTAGCAAGCCGTATGGGCTGCCACCTACCAAAGGCGACAGTATAATGACGTACGTAAAGGGAACTGAGCAGAGGGCGGGTTACCGACAGAAGTAGGGATACAAAGTACGCACAGTTATTGCTCGTAAGATAAACTATGCATGCCTCATGCTCTTCGGAACAAAATGCGCAGCATATGCTGTGCATAGGGTAAATGTTCGCAAACCAAAAAGGTACTAATCGATAAAGATTGTATCGTAAAATGCTCATACGCAAATGTTTCTGCGCGCAAAAGTCCGCATGGAAAAAGGTCGTCAGCAAGCGTTTGTACCTAAATTTCGTGCTCTAACGTTCGTCAAAGAAAACGTTCACTCCACAAAGAAACATAAGCAAGTGTTCTTACGTCGATATCTGATAGCTGAAGTACACAAAGTTTGTACAAAAATGTGTCAGCGATGAAGTTTGTTTGGCGATGGCACGTACGTGCGCAAAACTTCGTATGCAGATGCGAGCTGAGCGTTAGAATGCACATTGAGCGGGCCTTTCACATCCCGTCAACTGAGGAGAGCTGGGGGTAGGGGGCGGCGGGCCATGGAAACCATTGCATAGGTCAAGGCAAGTATTATGACCTACCCAACCTTCGTGACCTTCATGGCATGACCTTCATGGCATGACCTTCTTCGCAAGAACTGCGCAAGATTACCTTAATATAAAGGGTATTAGAGATACAAACATTAGAAGAAAAAAAAAGTCCACTGTGGATCACCCGCCGAGCTTGTTAGGCTCCGCCATAATTCCTCAGCCTGACGACGCCTCTGGTGGCGACTTCACCCGATGCCCTCGAGCGCCCAGCCGATGCCAGCTGACGGATGCGACGAGTCAGCTCGGTTGTCGCATACGGCGGGCAGACGCGCCAGTGGCACCCGGTATGTGATTGCTCATATAAAGTGAAACGAATTTTGGAGAGAATGGTGCATCAGCTAGGCATAGGTTGGTGCACCCCCTTTGATTAAGACCCTGTTCGCACCCGACCCAACACTGCCCATGGCACTTTTTTAAACTGTACGCCGGATAGAGCTTGAAATTATCTACTTGAATTTGTGCCTTGGATTTGTCATCGGAAACCGAATTTCGAGAGTATTTAATAGCTGTCAAGAGCTGTAACTTGGTACCTTGGTGGTCGGTCTGTACCGGACCGCCATCCATAAAAATATAATCGACCATGCCGAAATGAATTTTCCCCGTGCATCACCACAGGCTTAATGCTCATCATTCTCAGAAAGTGAAGTGCACCCTCGGCCCCCACTCACGCGCCTATGCTGCTCACAAACGTGTTTGTACGTATTTTTACCAAACCAACTTTATCCGCTTTGAACATCTGCGCACATTTAATTCCTTATGATCAATGGCGTATATAATTAATGCATGTAAGCTTTTCCGAACAAATATTTGTCCCAACGAACTTTTGGCGTTGCCAACATTACCCATACGTTCTTACAAACACACGACCAGGTGCCTTCGAACTTTTTCGTGCGTACTTCTAGCATTCGAACTTTATACCTCACGTCCGTTTGCTTACAAACAGTTGCGTACGCAATGTATACGTGCATTTTCCACACGTACATTTGGCCTTAACCCGTTGTAGGCATCGGTATTTAAAAACCAAAGGCTTGGTCCGATTTCAAGGCTTTGTGTCTCAAGTCTCAAGTCAAGTCAAGTCAGTTCGAATCCGGATTCTACCCTTGGCGAATTATTTGAGTGTGAGTCCCATCATTTCACGGAACATGGGTTCGAGTCTAGGGAAGCCCCGGTCCGCATTTGTATTTGAGTCCCAAAAGTATTTGAGCCTGAATTATTTAGCCCGCCACGAAACCAAACAGGGATGGGAGAGTTTCTTATGAGATTCCCATGAGAAGTGGTCGTCAATGATTCAAATGGTAATGGGGTGAAGGCTTGACTCCCCCTGGCCTGACCTCTGATCTGATCTAACTTCTGGCACAACTTCTAATCCATCTGGCACAACCTGGCACAAACTAAGTCAACCTGACCACCCACAGCGCAACCACCCCATTTTATACGACCCAACAGGAACAGCGATAGTCACCGGCATTTTCTAGAAAACATCTCATTACGGCATGCATTTTCTGGAGATAAAATGCGTGTTGTGATGTTCTATCACCAACATCCTCATTGCTGGAAGTCTCCGGCTCTCCTCGAGATTCTGGGTCCGGCTAGGTCAGGTCGGGATCATATTGCCAGGGTGCAGGACGCTGACGCCGTCAGCCGGGCTGTCGGGGAGCACAAGCCGAGACCGCACAGTCCGGAGCGCACCACAACACTGACGCCGTCAGTCGGACAGTCGAGGGAGGGGGAGGGGGAGGGCACGGGCCGGGCCCGCGCCATTCAGAACATACCACAACATTGACACCGTTGGTGGCACTAAGAGACCTCAGCCGTGACTGGAAGGTCAGCGCCTGGCGTCTGTTGTTAGGCCAGGTAAGCGTGCTCGGTCTCATGGTGCTGGTGAAGAATAATCCCAATGCATTATTATTTTTTTTTTCAAAAACAGTCTTTCCTAAGGAAAACCTGTCCTTTCCATGTTATTCCAAAGCTGAAGAATGCCATGCTTTTCAGGGGGATTTTGTGATTAGCCGCTCTGTTCTGCTGGTCTCAGCGTGTAGGCGTCCTTGTTGCCGTCCCCCCCCCCCCCTTCCCTCTGCTTCGCCGGGCGCGCTGCCGTGTTCATTAACGGTAGTGAAAGAGAAGCCGGCATGGTGTCAGACCGGGTGTTGGCAATGTCGGGCCGCAGTGTCGGCCGAGTGTTGGACCGGAGTGTCGGTGGGGTGTCAGGCCGGAGTGTCGGCAGAGTGTCCGGCCGCAGTGTTGGCAATGTCGGGCCGCGTGTCGGCAGGGTGTCGGGCCGCAGTGTCGGCAGGGTATTGGGCCACAGTGAAGGCAATGTCGGGCCACAGTGTCGGCAGGGTGTCGGGCGGGAGTGGGCCGCCAGATCTCTGCTCAGCTGAAGTAAAACAGCCACGTCCAGCAGCCACAGCCGGTTTTTCGTGCACCGTGCGCAAAACATAGTAACGCGTAGTGGAACGATGCAGGGAAGTTCCAAGCACAGAACCGGTGGAATAGATAGTGGCGGAATCATACCGCAGAAACAACAGTGTAGTGTTTCAACGGTGTTATGACAGTGCTTCTTCAATAATGATAAAACAACGTTGACCTGCCATAGATCAGCGACCTTACAAGGTAAATTTGAATTTTGGCTCTAAACGATCCACTATTAAGTTGTCTAAAGATATGCAAAATTTGGCGCAGCTACGCCGCGCCGTTCGGAAACCGTTCTGGAAAAGCCCTCGGGGGTCAATTTGACCCCCCACCCGAACGCGTGTTAAAAGCTTCCAGTGCGGATGCACTAGGCATAGTGTATTGGACAATCTGTGGTTTCAGTGCAGTCATAGCTACACGCATAAACCGGTCCGTAAAACGCGAGTCTCTATGAGAATACAGGTGCACTGGATCCATGGTTCCATATAACACCCTGGCCACTTCCAGGCCGCGACAGGCCGCATCGTGCCTCAAACCATCAACGCCGGCGGCACATTAAGTGGAGCTGGCAGCGCGCCGTCACTCCCAAATCAGGCGTGCTGGGCTGGGCGCGCGCGCTGGTGTGTTCTCACGGCATCCGGTTCCACGGAGTGGCTATTGTCATCGGGCGGCTGACTGGCGCGCGCCGTCGTACGTCGCCCCGGCGCCGCCGCCGGCCTGTCGACAGCGACGGCCGTCGGCGGCGCCAGGGGCGTTGACGGCATTGGGGAAGGGAACCGCGTTCCGACTGCACGGGCGAGGTCAGGACTTGCTCTTCGTAGGGGCTGCTAAGCAGCGCCTCTGAGCGCTGCTTCATTTGCAGGACGGCACAAACTGTCGAAGCGCAAGCGTTGGAGGCGTTGTCAAGGAAGCCGGATGAAGATGGGTGCCCCGCACCCCGGCGTGAATCCGAGATAGCAACGCTTGCAATTCTGTTCAGGGAATTGACTCTCTAATGATTGTTCCCTTCCCGTTAATATGGACACTTGTACCACCGAGTGACGCCAGCCGTCAGATCCCGGTGTCACCTCTGTGAAGTCGTGCGGGCACATCAGTTCTGTACCTGAAGCCTGATTGGTACATATGAAGCCCGACACTCGCATTCTCCCTCTGGCATGTAATGCGTCATGTCCCAGTCTAGCTTTTTCAGGTGTTCGGCAGTCCTTAGGTTTTCAGTAGTCTTCACATACTCGCATGTGGAGCCCCTTACGTGCCATCGCTTCCCGAGCCTTGCCTCCCATGCGCTGCTCCTGGGCCCGCCACTGTGTGGGCGCCACGGTCGGCGCGTTGTGTCTGAATCGTCCACCAATAACGGAACGGCGTGGCCGCCAACGCCCGCGCAGCTGACTACAGCACCAACCGCGCAGTCGCCTCCCGTCACTAGGCGCAGTTCGTGGGCTGGTGTGCGGGCGTGAGGCGCGTGGGTGGCGGACGCTTCCAGCGGGTGCTGTGGCGGCGGCGCTTCGCTGGCGGGGATATTTCATCGTGGCAGAACAGGTAGGTAACGGGTTCCAGGCTTGCCATAGCATGCCGCCGTGGTAAACAACGTTTTTGGAAAGTGCTCCTTTGAAGCGAGATGCGGTTTGCGTCTGCACAGTGCATGGATTCTCGCGGACAGGATGCCGTGGGTGATAAACAGAACTGAGCGCGGCGCGCGTGGCTTAGCTGCTCGCTTGCGAAAGCGTTTAGCTCTGCTGAGCGTGAGCAAACTGCGATGTGTTTTCACTCAGTGAAATTTATACGTTTTCCAAGCCTTTGAATGGCATACTTATGCCTTGCGTCCGAACCTGTGGCCCTGCCTCCACGTGTTCAGTGGGTCTCTGGCTGGGTGGAGGTCCTTACAAACCGCTTAGTCATACTTAGACGTTGTGTGCAATATGCACCGGATGTCTTGGACTCAAAAAAGCCCGGAACTAGATTTGTGAAACTGTGATACGCCCAGCCGGTGCCCACCCCAGTCTCGCGGCAGGCGCTGGAGCGGTGCTGGGGCTGGTAGATGCCGGCACTTGGCCGGTGTCGCCAATGTTGGCCCGCATAGAATACGTTGAAAACAGTCACCGGTGCCGGCGACGACCGAACCTTGCCGGTTTAAGGCCGGTACCCGTGCTTCTGGACTGGCGCCGCCATGGAGCGGTGCCAGGGTTTTATATTTGTCGTCTCTTCTATTGGCCTCATGCTCTGAGCGCTCCGCACCTGACCCATTCACACGGCATCCCGCCTCATGGACCGCCGCCTGGACTCATAATTTTCCCAGCCACACGTCAGTCGAGCGAAAATCCCAGCTGTGCGGCATGGACGAGTGTCGGCCTGCCTTGTCGCCCAGTGATCAGCATCACCAGAGGTGATGCAGGTGCGCTCCGGGCTTGTCCCCGTGCCTTCCGCCAGCCTGGCAGCAAGATCCGCTGGCTCTAGACGCGAGGCCTCAGTGAGCCCCGCGGGCGCCTCGGCGCTGCAGCCAATGGGGCGGGGCAGCCAGGGTCAATGGCTTCATCATGTGTGTGGATGGGCTTGAGAGCTCGATCATGTAGAGATCGACCGAGCGAACAAGTTCTTTCAGGATCGGCGCCTGGGCCTGAGGTATCACGGTGTTTCTCATGGTCGGTGATACCAGATCTGCCACTGGCCTAAGATACCACGGCTTTACCCCGGGTCGGTGTTACCAGACCTGCCACTGGCCTGAGATACCACGGCTCTACCCCGGGTCGGTGTTACCAGACCTGCCACTGGCCCGATAGATCCTGGCCCGATAAAGCCTGGCCTTCCAGCGACCACGCCCGGCTCAGGACCGTGAGCACCTGGCCGGCGGGGTGCCGCCCGTGGTCGTGCATGCCGGCTGCGGTCGCGTACGCCCGCCCTCCAGGATCGGCCGCCCTTGGTCGTGTATGCCAGCTGCGGTCGCGCACGCCCGCCCTCCAGGATCGACCGCCCGGGCGGCGTACAGTCTGTATGTGATTGAGCGCCCCGGCTGGAGTGAACCATGCAGCTGGGCATTCCTAAATATGGGCTGTCATGTCCTTTTAGAATTTGGTTCCTGGTGAAAGCAAAGATTGGAGCGCCATGTGTCTCCTCGATTTGATGCTTTTGGGGAATTAATGTTATGATATCCCATATTGAGTGTTTTTGGAGCCCCCGCGCCAAACGGGCCGATCAAACTTTCGTCAGGGTGAATGGCGCAAAAATTGTCGCACAGCAACAACTACCTTAGGATGGTCATTCTTGAGGATGAGCGCAGCTCGAGACATTGAACAATACCAATACAATCGTTGTTTGGTACTATAACGTCGTTTAGCCAGTACCTTCTAGCATAGTGAATGCCGTTTATAATCAGTGTGATAGCTTTAAACTCATAATGGCGAGAAACCAGGACCTGAAGACGTTTCTCTCTCTTTTGTATCAAATTCATTTTCTGCGCTAAAGCTCAGACTGGCCCGCCTTTTAATCGCCTGGCGCGCCTTTAATCGCCCTTCCCTGAGAAACGCGCCAGGAATCTCTAGACAAATGGGCTTCGGGGCGGTTTGTTACGATTGTCACAGAGGTAGCACTTTTCACAATCCATTTAGGAGACATTCAAGCGGTTTTAATAGTTAACGCCGCCAAGCGCCTATTTTTGGCCCTGACTGGTTTCAACGAATCCCATCCTGCCACGCCAGCATGGTTGAATACAGTAATCTTTATGACAGCAGACATCCCACGGAGTGGAGCTTTTTAAACGTAATTGAAAGTCACGCTCCTCAGCACTGGGCCGCGGAGCACCATGATACAGCTATGTGTGCAGTTCTGTAGCACTGGGGTCCGGAACTACGTCGGTTGGTGAAACTGGGATGGTGGTCTGTCGCACATTAGTCGTTTGTACTTGGTAGTGATCTGCTGCGATCTATGAGCATATTGCGGTCAGAAAATTATTATTTAATCCACGCGTCCAACCAAAGCCTGGTGTATCAGTTGCTCTTTAGGCTTGTTAAGGTAAATGTTTCATATGTAAAGATATTTGAGCAAGCATAATAAGCAAGCAGATATGATGAAAGCAGCAAGCAAACAGATATCATGAAACAGGATTACCTTCAACTATTGGTGCAATTCTTAAGTGGAAAAGATTGCTCTAGAGAGCACAATTTTCTGTTAAGTAGATATGCTCTTCAATGCGTCACGGTGTGATTATGCCATTGTACTTTGCACAAACTTGATTGAGAGCCAATTGACGTCCTTTATATCTGGAAATCGCACTCACAAACGCCAAATACGAACTCCTCGATAATCATATTCTTATCGGCCCGGATCGCTGCATGGCTTATGGAATGGCAGGATGATTTAATGGCGCTGTTATAACGTCATGAATGTCAAGGTGACTTTGAAATACTCTCCCCGATATACCTTTCCCATTTTTGCCGGCATGCAACCCAGAAACTAGAGGGGCTCAGGTCTCAAGAAGGGCAAAATTATGAACAGCACCGAAAGGCCTTTACACTGGCTATTTCATTTCAAAACCCCATATGAATGTGGAACACTCCCTTTAAGTGGTGCCCTCCCGCAATCGACGTCCCTCGACTGTGTTCAGGACTGCGGGCTGTTACCGAACCACGACTGAGCCGCGGCCCACCGGACCGTGTGGGGTCACGTGGTGGCGGCAGGTCACTGACCTCCGTGGAAGTCGCGCCGAGGCCGGATCGCCGAGCGCGCCGCAGCTGCGACGGCCGGTGCCACCGTGCCCGGCCATTTCTCACGAGTGACGGCGACTGGGGCCGCTCCGCAGAGACCGTGACGGTCCTTTGTCTACAGCTGTTGCCAAGCACACGCCAAGTAGAAGACAGGGGATGAGCATTCGTGATTGAGCTTTGATTTTGAGACGGTGGCGTCGTGTCATATTTCATTTATTCACTACGGATCGTTCCGCATGCATGGCTTCATGTTTGATGTGCGCTGATGGGTCACAGGTTACAGGACAAAAAGAAGATGCGGCGATGATAAAAACACACTCGACCCCCCCCCGCACACACAAAAGTCAAGCAAACTCCTCTTTTTCACGTCGGTCAAGTTTAGGTATGAGCGCGGCGCGACGCCGGAGGTCATAACGGCATGACGGTGGGATACCGCTGGAAAGACGTTGTCAAGTTTGGCGTGGTGGACGTGATGCGCGATAAAGGAGACTGTCGTCCACCTGAATTGTGACCGTCTATGAGGGTTCTAACTACACGATGCTGTCTGTAGCTTATTTTCTGAGAGTCAAGTCCGAGCTACACCGCCATTGTAGAGCAAAATCCACTCACCATCCGTCCGTACTCTTCACAGCTTCCAAATTATGCCGGAATGTCAACCGGACCACGTTGCATTATGACAGTAGGTCCACCGTATGCCATCGCGTGTGACAGACTCACCGTGTCCAGTATTGTATTCCGATCCATGGGCTCCCACGATACACGAGGGACTGGACATCGCATCTATGACACGCCGGTAACCACCGTAAACAATAATCGCAATGGGGTCGCACAGGCGCAGGCGCAGGGAAGAACTCAATGAATTATTTATCTTAATGTGCATGCTGATTGCATACTTTGATACTCCTGCCGCACATGCGTGGTTAACATGCTGACACCCCGCATTACTTTTAACTGTCTGCTATTTTTGTTTCAGTGCTTAGGTTCTTAATACTTCGTATATTTTTTGCCACACACTTCATTTTCGGCTGATTTATCCGGCATTAACCGAGCGGTTGGCCAATCCGCCTGGCCCTGTCGATGATTCACAATAATGCAAAAAAGCGTTAAGATATTTGTACGATTTTTGCTTGCGCTCCAGTCATCAATCCTTTGCACTGTGCCAAAATACAAAACGGAAGCCATAATAGATCAAACATGAGTAACATCAGTGTGACGTTGTGTTTGTTGATTTTTAACAAGAGTGCGTGCCGGAGTCAGTGTGATGTACAGACCGAATGAACGAATATATTTCGTATATGCAAATGGGAAATGTGAGCCGATTACTTCATCATTTATACGACATAAAGTTGTATGTTTCATTTTTGCACATTGAAATGGCTATATCAAATAACACAAATGTTGATAAGTGGTACGCTCAAAATAATAAGCATTGGACTCAATACTGTGGCTAGAAATCCATCGCAGCGCCTTTTGCCGGTACCTTGGCGGACCCAGACCGGCGGCAGCGGGCGGCAGGGCTCAGGTCTGCCGCGGCGGCGCTGTTCCGGGGAGTCGGAAGCCGCTTAGTTTGTGGTGTGGTCCGAGACCGCACGCCATGGTGCCATCGATTGTCATTTGAATTTAAAATTGGGCCCGGCCGTTCTTGAGATAAGCGGGGAGATGGGTCAAACCTGCCCCTCCGGTCAATGGTGTGCCGCTTAGGAGCCGGGTCAGGGCCGGGTGAAGAGGCGGAGTGTGCATTCGAGTCTCGCGAGGTGGTGTGGTGGTAGGCATAGTGGACATTTTAGCCATGCATAGGGCGGGCTGCGATTTGTATGGAGGACGTGGTACACCAACATAACATCCTACCAATCCCGCATGCAGGCATGCACCTTTACTTCATAGATGAATTCCCGATCGGATCACTTGCTTCTGGATGCAGGATTTCCCACGCCATGTCATATTTGCGAGTGCCGGAAAGATGCATTGTGATTAAATGAGTGCACCGGGCAATGTATGTACCATCGATATAGATTTGCGTTTGACTTCAGCGCAATTGCTTCGCATCTCATGCGTTGACAAAATCATCATCTGTCTTGATGAACAAGCCCTAGGGCGTTTGGCATGAAACATATGTCCATGACTTTCACATATTCCTGCGCTTGGTTTGCGGGCGCTTCGAGGAGGTCACTTGGGGGCCGAAATGTAGCGAAATGGAGTTATTTTTTAAAAAGTGACCATCTCGTGGGACGCGGGTGAGCCTGAAAATCCTTCGTAAGTCACCTCAGGCGTATGGTCTTCCTACCTTCCATTTCCTTACCATCGGATGGCACCGGCGCCTGCCTAATCTGACGCTTCGGCGACATGTGCAACCGCTGTACCGGTGTCCAGTCGCATCACCAGGAGTGTGCAGCCGCTGTACCGGTGTCCAGCCGCATCACCAGGAGTGTGCAGCCGCTGTACCGGTGTCCAGCCGCATCACCAGGAGTGTGCAGCCGCTGTACCGGTGTCCAGCCGCATCACCAGGAGTGTGCAGCCGCTGTGCCGGTGTCCAGCCGCATCGCCAGGAGTGTGCAGCCTCTGTGCCGGTGTCCAGTCGCATCACCAGGAGTGTGCAGCCGCTGTGCCGGTGTCCAGCCGCATCACCAGGAGTGTGCAGCCGCTGTGCCGGTGTCCAGCCGCATCACCAGGAGTGTGCAGCCGCTGTGCCGGTGTCCAGCCGCATCGCCAGGAATGTGCAGCCGCTGTGCCAGTGTCCAGTCGCATCACCAGGAGTGTGCAGCCGCTGTGCCGGTGTCCAGCCGCATCACCAGGAGTGTGCAGCCGCTGTGCCGGTGTCCAGCCGCATCGCCAGGAGTGTGCAGCCGCTGTGTCGGTGTCCATCCGCACCGCCAGGAATCAGGCGGCTTGGGTTGTAAATCACAAACGGCGCATCACGCTCCGCTGAAGTAGCAGAGCATTTATGTGGCGTGACAACGTCGCGTCGAAGGGCAGCGTCCGTGTCAAACTCCGTTTCATCTTCGTTACTAAGCTGACGGTTCTCCGTTAGTGTCGGAAGCGAAGAACCTCGTTCCAATCAACCCAAGAAATAGCAAATAAAGGATCGGGTCATCGATGTTTCCTCTTTCCGATGGCGTGTGATGCCGATGTCTGAGGACAACGAAGCACGAGATTCTGTCTGAGCAACGTGATCACTGCTGCTGGGACATTCGATCCTAAAATACGTTGCCAAAATTTAATTGATTTGATGTCGTTTATGAACCGATGTTTTCCGCTTGTTGTCAAATTCCGCAAAAAGTACTGCATGTTTGCTTTGTCGTGCTTCGTCAGGCATGAGAGGATCGCTCTATTTTCCTCCTCCCTGCCCCTCCCGTCGGACGGTCTGTCTGATTCGTGTGACAGCTCGACTACATCCCAGTAAAAGTAGTTTTTCCACATCGGCGCGACACGGCGTGCGGACATTATCCCAGCGTGGCTGTCTGCCCCCGCCCGGACGGCACGCCGCCCAGCGTGACTGTCTGTCCCCATCCGGACGGCACGCCCAGAGCGCGTCCAGCCGGGCGGCGCGGCGGCAGGCTCGTCAGCCCGCCGCCAGACTGGCGCCCGTGCCAGCACGCGCATTGGAGCGGCCACAGAAGGCGTTTGCAGGGCCTCGAAAATCAATACGGACGCGCGAACTCGGCCGGCCGCCGTGGCCGGCTAGGGCACGCTAGGGCAGACACGGCACGTCCCTGTCTGCGTCCGCTGGTGACCGATTCATCCATCCGTTTGTCCGTCTGGCTGTCAGTCCGTCTGTTTTTCCGCTGTCGGCTATCGGTTGCCCGTTGTCCGCTGTCCGTCGTCTCTAGACCACTTGCACCTGCGGGCCGTCACGGCATCGTTCTCGGCCGCCGCACGCTGCGGAGGATTGTCGGCGTCCAGGGATCTGAGGTGAGAAAGGAATGGGCCCGGGGTGGCGACCTCGATTTACGGGCCGGTCACGCGTCTCGGACCGACGGCGGCGACTCGGCCCGACCCCGCGCCGCCGGACGGCCGGGCCGCAACGGCTGCCCGGAGCCGGCGAGGCGTCATGGCCTGTCTTCAGTGCAGTTTGACTGTGACGCTCTCGAGCGGAGAGGCGTGACGGGGCGTATTTTCGGGGCAAGCGAATCGGGACGACCTCTTCTTCGGAGAAGGGGACGAATGGCAGAGCCTGTTTTTAAGGGGAGGTCTGATTTGGTTGGATAGTGGGAAAAGGTGCAGCGTATGGAAACCAGGTATAGTTTGAACCCACCTTTTATTGATGCAAAACGCATCAGGACAATTCAGCAAACCCTCTGGATGTGTCTTTGTCAAAGCCTATAAACGTCGTGTAGATCACTTGGTGACGATGCTACTGTTTCACCTCCTCGCCTCTGGCGCCCGCGGGCTGAGAAGCCCTTTCAGGTAGAAGACAAGCTCACACGCCTGTCGAATCTACGCCTCCCCGTGGTTTCGCGCTTGCTTACGACTGAGAATACTTCCAAACCAAACCCACATAATGAGTAACTTGATGTGGCATGTGTGTGAATTGGAGCGGCGCCACTTTTGTACATAATATGCTGGCACATGGTACATGGTACATGGATATGCATACGTCGATGTACCGGTAGTCGGTGCCAAAATGGGTACTGCGGTACCAGAGCATCATCTGGGCCAGCGGCGTCGGTGCTCTCTACACGACCGTACCCTTTAACGTACCGGCCATGCTGCACCAGCCACTCTTCCAGTGCATCAGTACTCACTTCGGTACCGGCGTAGATGGCCAGTGGACACTGATAGCAAAATGTTGAATCTCTAGACAACACGCGTCAACGCACACAATGTGCGGACGATAGCGCGCGTCACACCGCCACGCCCTCCGCCTGCCGGCGGATGCCTCCCTGATTCGCGGTCTGAGAATCCAAGGAATGCCAGCTGCCTGTGGCACGTCGTGGAGCCCTGCCCCCGCACATTCCCGCCATCATGCTCTGAACGAACACGAGCATATTGCGCGTGTTCAGTGCCGCGGTCTTCTTGCGTACGGTGTTCTTCAGAGGCCGAGCATATTGCGCGTATTCGGCGCCGCGGTCTTCTTGCGTATGATGTTCCTCAGAAGCCGGCGCGCCGCGATGTTCCGTGCCGGGCACAGACTGACTGACCTTCCAAGGCCCGGCCCGCAGACGGCCAGAGGGCGTCGATACGATCGTCGGCCGGCCAGCCCCTGTGGCCTTTCGAGCCTTCCAGCCGGGCCCATTATCATCGGCTCCCAGGGGGCCGAGGGGAGCGTGTTCCCCTGCGCCCCTGCCTGCGCCCCTGAGGCCGCGAGTTGCAGGGAATGTGATGTTCACGAAAGCGACCTTTGAATAAGAATGAAGCGGTTGTGTGAAAGGGCAGGAATAGCCGAATTGCTGGTTATGGTTTGTCATCTTCGGCATGCAGCGCCATCTCTACAAATGGCTTTGCTGGATTGCGCCATCGTCCTCGGATATCGCAAGGCACTTTCCAAATTCATTTAACCCTGTGTTAATCACAACCTGGAACAGAAACATGATTCGTGACTTTTAAAACTCTTCTGAATATGTCTTATTACATATGATATTTACTATACGCACACGGCTTCGCGCGTCGCAAGATGCATTACCGGTTCCACAGCATTAGTGCTAGTGCATGAGCTTCTACCGACAGCCGTGCTACCACGGTGCTGTAACTACCCCGTGCCATGCGCTGTGCTCTGCTGTCCCGCTTTGCTCTGTGTTGCCAACTGCCCTACCGCAGTGCGGGGCATAGGGCAGGATCTCCAGTCCCCTTTGTCTCTGTCTGAAATCTGTGCAGCCCTTTGACCCGAGATGCCTAATCTCGCGTCAGATCTCGCACTTTGCGTCTCCGCTCTATCTTATCGCGCGCAGAGCGGAGGGTCGCCGGAGTGCCGTGCGTCACTGCGCACGTTTCGCCTCAGACGCGCGTGTGGCGCGGAGAGGTCGGCCTCGCGTGTCGCTCGAGCCCCTAGGAGCGGTGTCGCGTCTGTGGGAGCCGTCGCGTGTCACTGCCGACGATCAACGGCTCTTGCAGAGCCCTCTGGGGTGTGACCAGCCGCTGAGCGCCAGCAGCGCCAGCAGCGCCAGCAGTGGCAGCGGCAGCGCCGGAGCGGTTGGTGAACCCGGCCCAAGCGACATGGGTCTGTGCGGACTGGTGACAGTGAACGCGGTGACGCCACTGACGCTGGTTGACGCCCGCAGGCGGCGTCGTACCATGTGGCAGCCGGTGGTGGGCGAGGCCGAGGGCCGCCTGCCCTGCGCCCGCTCCAAGCACGCCGCCTGCCTGCTGGACGGTGCCATCTTCGTGCTCGGCGGACGCAACGGCAACCTGCCGCTGCGCGACTTCTGGCGGCTCGATCTCGGTGAGTGCGGGGACCCGGCCAGCCTGTCGCCGCTCCCCGTCCACTGCCCATGCTCTCGATCTCGGTGAGTGTTGGGACCCGGCCAGCCTGTCGCCGCTCCCCCGTCCACCGCCCATGCTCTCGATCTCGGTGAGTGTTGGGACCCGGCCAGCCCGTCGCAGCTCCCCGTCCACTGCCTATGCTCTCGATCTCGGTGAGTGTTGGGACCCGGCCAGCCTGTTGCAGCTCCCCGTCCACTGCCTATGCTCTCGATCTCAGGGAGTGTATGCACCCTGCCAGCCTGTTCCCGCAATGGTCAAAGCTCCATTCTTTAAGGAAGTCTGAAAAATGCTCCATTCTTGATTCCTCATATCCACGAAGTTTGTCGGCACAGAACGAAGATGTGAACAGCGTGCAGACGAGAGAACACTGGACGCGACGAGGAGCCGTTGTAGGGCGCGTTTTTGTCCGATTGTGACGTGTTACGACCTGAACACTCTCACCTCAAGTTGGAGGCTCCGGCGTGATTCACCATCATCAACCGCCAGCAAGCCGATGCCCTTGATGGCGTTTGGCGGCGACCATAATTGGCACACAACATAGCATGCGATGTGCCCAGCATGACGTCACGAATAATGACCAGCCTGCTCTGCAGTCGGCATGTGTGTCAAACGACGCGGTCAGGGTAAGCGAACGTAAGTCGTATATATATATATATATATATATATATATATATATATATATATATACCATAACCATAATTGGCACACAACATATATATATATATATATATATATATATATATATATATATCGTTAGTCATTAAACATCCGCAGTCGGCGGCGTTATATGACCTCCGCTGCTGAGCGCGTCGTAAATCCCCAATGACGACAAACATCCCCATTAAATAATCAGCATCATTAAACGATCTCCATTGAAGTGCAACCGCATGCAATCGACGCAACAGTGGATTCCTGGGTAAGCAGAGCCCTTCACTTTGAAGCCGTTCCGCCATATTGTTTTCAGTAATCTATGATTTCCATCGAATGACGTCATCGCTGATAATGGCATATCGTATGACGTCATCATTGGTGATACATCGTATGTCGTCATCACTGGTGATGTCATATCGGCAGAAAAACCAAAGCCATACTGCTGGGCGCGTCATGGCGTTGCAGGTGGGCCGCGCTTGTCTGGCCCGCGCCAGCACGCGATAACGTGGCGGCCCGGTCCCGCCCGGCTGGCCGCCGCAGCCCTCAGGGACGCCGTGCGAGCGGCCGATCGATGCCCATGGGACTGCGGTATTGCGCGCTGCCGCTGGGCCATTGGCGGCCGCAAGCACGTGGCCCGGAATCGGTGACGTTTCCCTGTGATCTTGTTACTCGCAGGGGACATCGTCCACAGGTGCGCTGCTGAGATCACGCGCCGGCAAACGTTGGAGATGACGTCACTCGTTGCTGAGGTTACACACTGACAAACATTGGAGATGACGTCACCCGTTGCTAAGACCACACACACGGGCAAGCATTAGTTTTTTTCCGGGATGCTTATACACAAATCTGCGTTTTAGTGATTTTATGCGGGCTCTGGTTGCGGGAAGATCCTTTTTGTAGAAACATTGTCATATACCTTGTTTCAGTGCTGAATTTGCATTGGATGAAACATATTGAGCCTCGCAGTTATTTATCATCACGATGGACATGAAATTATCACATTTACATTCGTGCAGAAGTTTGCCCGTTAATACCAACCTATGAGTGAGACAGCAGGCCGGTCGAATTCGACGCGGGCAATAGGTAACTGTCAACACCGCCGACAGGTCCGGGCCGGCCGTCATCCTGTTTGTGAAGTAATATGTTCATTGCTATGCGTCGTAGTCCTTTGACATCAGCGCGAGCGTGTTACAATATGCAATACCATTCGGGACCGGCGCAATGATATTCCGGGGCCGAGATCGCTCTAGCAATTTCTGCCCTACATCGAAACTCTAGTGCAATATCGAGGGTATTATGCAAGAGCAATATGTGATGCCACACAGGCCAATACAATCATTTTTCGGAATCGAGGTTGCTGTCGCAATCTCTGCCAGTAACCAAAGATCGTGGGCGGAAGGTCTACGGCCACCAAGGCCATGTAATTCGGAATTCCCGGGATTCGCTCCGGAAAAAGCGTTGCATGCCTTTTACCAAATACTGTTATATGATGGAACATGGATACAAAGTTACAACGATTTTCCCACCATACTTATTAAATTATGGGTTATAAAAATGGGTGGGAAGACCATGGAGGGAAGGTGTGTATTCAGTCTGGCACTATTAAAGTGCCAGCATCTGCGACCGTCGCCGCTATCAGCATCGAATGTTTCTGAGAATGTACCCTTCTACCTCAGATACTGTTTATCATCAACGCCGCTGAGAGTGGTTGTAAAGCATTCACAACAAGAACAGTCCTCAAGAGGTCCTTCAAATGTCAGCCGTGTTTTTGTTCGAAGAGACGTTTGCGCGTGATTCGGTAAAATTCTGGCCCGTGGTCAGAAATGCTCCCCCAGATAAAAAGCTGAAGATATCGGGCTAAGGCCGAATGTATACGACCCGCACCATTTAGTGCAAAAAAGGACGTCACAACATGTAATGAAAGGTTGTTGACCTGATGACATTCAATGTTGAGCTATTTGGTCAAACTTTTTGGCGTACTGAGCACATACAATGTACCAAACCATTTTCCGCATGCCTTCCAAAAAGGGGTACCGGATACCTGGGACGTATGTCGTCACTTTCCTCAACGGCCCCACGAGCCAAATGTAACAAACGAAATGCGCGGGGCAGGCGTCCAAGAATGTCTTGTCATAGAGCTTCCTGCGTCGCTCAGATGACCCTGAGGCAGTGAGAGAACCATTCTGTCAGTCAAAGGCCCTAACACTAAGGAAAGGGGTCTAGTGGGTACCGAGCAGGGACTCGTCCGAGCCCATGGGTCCATCAGGCAAGCTGGGACAGGGCTAAGGTCTCAGAATGTTAGTCAGAGGGCTACATACGCCACTCTGGGTCCTGAGACGATCAAGGCCTAACCTCTGTCGTCCGAGACCTTGGGAATGGTACTGGAAGGAGGCCGCCGGTACGAAAACAGCGAGCCATGTCCTGCAGAGGCGGCGAGCAAGCGAAAGGTCTCGACTTCGGAGACAGGTTGGCCGCGCCAGCGATGGCATGCCCGTTGAAGCCGCTGATCACGCTCTGGTCTCAAGCCCTCAATTTGGCCGCTTAACCATTGACAATACGGCGCTACCACATTCGCTCATTGCTCGCATTCGCATTAGTACATTACTGGCATTCGCGAGAACGTCGAGTCGCTTTCACCCTGCTTTGCCGACGCTGCATTGCACGGGCTTGTGACTGAGCTGACTGAGAGGTTGGAGTCAGTATCTGGCAGCAGGTTCTTATATATAAACCGGTGGGTAGAGCTCCCACCAGGCTTGGTGTCCGCTGTATTCGCGTTGTGTTCCTGTTACGTTTTGCATACCTAGGTACCCTTGGGAAGTCTGCACAAAATAGTCTGCGTACGTTCGCGAGCGTTAAACCTAGAAGTTGGAGGGTTTTGAGTCTTGAAAGGGTTAGGGCTGTGGGCTGCACTAAATGATCTCCGAAATTACTTTTTTCAGTTCAAAACACCATACAAATGTTAAACACCGTCTTTAATGTCCCAACTCAGGGTTCAAAAAGCCCGGCACACTCCTTCGTTGCGCTTCTGTACCGAACTCAACGGCTGGCAAAGAAACTTCCTCAGTCCCTCAAGGCCGTGTGCACTGCCCGCGGAGGAATAAGCCGAAGGCGATCTGCATTAGGCGTGGGATGTGGACAGCTACCTAGGCATCAAGTCCTATTTCAAGCACAAATCACGATGGATCGGAAGGAACAGTGATCTAGCCGGAGGGTTGTATAGATCGTATTCTCCGACCGAAGCGTGGGACGTGGTGGTTTTTAATTTGTTGTTTAAGTTTAACTTTGCAATCAACCTTTTGTCTCCTTCCCACGGTCAGAACCGTCTAGCCCTGTCATTCTCAGTTACGTCAGTCACTAAAGGTGCTATTCGTCGTCTGGCATGATAACCTCTGGCATCGCCTTTGTTTTGCATAATTATCCCAAAAAAACTCCATTCTTCTGCGAAATTCTGAAATTATACTGTGGAAAGCCGAAAACTGCTGTGAGATCTTCAGGACGAGCATTGCATGAGATAACGTATCTGTCGTTTTATTGGAACAGTGCAATCTGATGAGTGGTGTAAACGCTAAAAAAAAACCCAAACGAGCGTTTAAAAGGATACAACAGCCGTTCCGGCGCGAGGAAAGTTTTGTTTGTTCTCGAGCGGATATATCCTGCTTGACATCTCCCACGACGTCACGGAAGAAGTGCTGCGTGAGGCAAGGGAGGTTAGAAAAGGGAGCCGGCTGTTACCTTACGTGATATTTACGTCGGGAGACATACATCCCGATCACAAAACACATTGCGTCGCACTACCGAGCGGACACGTTGCTGTTTTATTTCGCCATGCTTCACGCCTCCACTGGGACTTCCGAATCTCCCCCATTGCGGACTCACCGGGCCGGAAACTCCTGCCGCTGTTCGCCTGAAACGCGTTTTATTAATCTGAGCTCTTGGGCAGATTTTCTTCAGACGACTGAGCCTCCGGAGGCGGCACGAAATGACAGCTAAATGGAGGCACGCCCTATGTAACAAATTTGCCACCGGCACGTCGAATGTGATGTGATGTTTTCCGGCGCTGTGATCACGGGCGTTGTCCGCCATATGGAGCCGCGTTGTTGGCTGCCTTTCCATGCGCTTATGAAACTGCGTGGTGTCTTAGCCACGACTCACTGATGTCTGCGTGTTTGTCGTCAGCCGGGCGAGCTGAATACGTCTGGTTTGCTTCCTTTGCGATGTTTGTAGGAAGTTGACTGACGTTCTCCCATAGCCTTCAGCTTGTGTCTTTGGTTTGTTCCTACGGAAAATCGGTTTACACATGTGCGTTTA